TGTAGACGATGCTGAAAGCAAGCCCCGACAAAAGGTCGGAACTACAAACCTTTTTCACCATTTTAAACGGCGCTATAAGTTAAATTATAAGCTGCAGCTCCAACCTTGTTTTCAGCCTCCTTCCCTGAAACAAACCACCGTATAAAACTCATTTAGCCGTGCTGTGCCTTATGAGAGGAACAGTGAGGTGGTGCGACATTTATAAAGCAGCAGTTTATCATATCGCTAAAGACACGGTCCCAGTTTCAACTGTGGAACAAGATGGCTAAAGAGTTAGCCGTGTCTTTAGCAATATGATAAGCTGCTGATTTATACATCGCGCCACCCCTCACTGTAAGACTGGAAAATCTGTGTAGTTCTCCTTTTTCTGCCCGTCCAACTTCACACAGCCCCTCCTTCTCCCTTACCAGTTGCTCCTCACAGTTCCAGGAACTCGTCTTAAGCGCAGAGGTGACAGGGCCTTCTCTGTAGCAGGACCAAGACTCTGGAACGAGTTACCTCTGCCTGTCAGACAGGCCCCCTCCCTCTCGGTTTTCAAGTCCCGTTTAAAAACTCACTACTATTCAGTAGCTTTCAACACAAGATGATCTGTGTTTTGAACCTGTATGCTCCACACTGGTTTGTCGTCATTATCTGCATCGATTTTATGTCTATATTCTGATTTACTTCATTGTGCTTTGTGTGTTACCTGTTGTTCTGTCTGTACAGCACTTTGGTTGGCCTTGTAGCTGTTTTAAGTGCTTTATAAATAAAGTGGTATGGTATGGTGTTGCTTCACACACGCTTACTAATGTTGTGAAGGCGGTGCAGCTGAAGAGGATTATTATTTAATATATGTAAATAGTTTATTTTTTAGACATTTAGTAGCTGTTTGTTAATAAATGTGCCTGTGTTACAATTGTGACAAAGCTTTGACTCAGAAATATTTTTTTACTACTTTATGGAAAAAAAAAAAATTCATTCAACCTTTATTTAATAAACAAGTTAGTCTCATTGAGCCTCAGGGACTCATTTACAAGAGAGACCTGATTTTAGCAAACAATGATGACAACTGTAGACAATCATAAAAGAAAGCATATAAATGGAAAAATTAAATGGAAGAAAATGATATTAAAAAACAAAACAAAAAGAGCTACATTATAAAGCGATGTACAATACTAAAAAACATATATATAGTATATCGCGATTTATCTTAAAAATATTGATATTAATTTTGGTTCATATCGCCCAGCCCTACTGTTCACCCCTCCAAACAAGACCAACTTGTAGGAATTCGTGCTTCTCACAGTGTCCTTTTTTATCCTTTCCTCATGCAGGGCTAATTAATATTTTAATTGGACTTTTTAATAATATAGCACAACAAAAAACAGTTGAAAGCTCCTAATGAGAGCTAAATCCAGCTGCCGTGTTAGGATTTAGGACCGTTGCCTGTTTCATGTTTTTACTTAAACATTAGTGTGTCCAAATGGTTGGGATTTGGGGGAATTCAAGTTTACTCGCCCTAAGTCCTGCAGCTCAGAAACTATCCTAGGCTTCGAGTACAGAAACATGTTTTGCTGCTAATGCTTTTAAGAGAAGATTTTTATGTTGATTCATTTTCTAAAGTTCCATGGATCATTGGGGATGGGACTACACTAATTCTGCCAGTAAAGCTCACCCAAAAACTCACCCATGACCACAGTTTTCACATCCTTTCAGAACTTAGGAACACGTGCTGGAAGATTCAAGTTGTCCTTTTTTCCCCACTTTTCCCCTTGAGAGCTGGAGATAGGTGGTAGGTGTTATGGCAGAAAAAGCACCCAGACTATAAAAGCACAGTTAAATATGCTGGTGAAGATTCTGTCAGTTAAATAATTTGGCATCTCACTACCAGGTGCCAACAAACAAACAAAGGTTGTGATCCCCTGATAACTATCTTTCATGTATTTCAAAAACATTCAATACAAAAACAACTGGACTTTATTTGTAACAGAAGACGTTTCGCTCCTCATCCGAGGAGCTTTCTCATTTCAAAGAGCAGTGAGTGAGGGGTTCAGGTTATAAGGCTGAGATAAGAAACCCATACATATGTAGATTGACAAATCACACCTCACACCTTAATAGTAGGGGTTTCTTAAGGTCTTTGTTACTTTAATTCACAGATGAGGCCCCTCTGTTCCCATCAGGTGTGAAAACTGGCTGGGAATCAGTCTTAAAGTTGAATTATACGTTTTTGAAAGTTGAAATCTGAGGCCTCCTCCTCTGTTGAGACATTTTTTTCTCTTTTAATATAAATTGCTTCCTTCACCCCTTCCTCAAACCATCTGTGTTCTGTTCTCGGTCCAAAATGTGCAAATTTTGGTCCTCAAAAGAGTGTCCCTTATCTGTGAGGTGCAGGTGAACAGCTGAGTCTTGTCCAGAGGAGGTGGCTCTCCTGTGCTGAGCCATGTGTCTGTGAAGAGGCTGTTTAGTTTCTCCAATGTAGAAGTCTGGACAGTCCTTGCTGCACTGGACCGCATACACAAGTACTTAAAGTACTGGACCGCATACTTCAAGTCTTTGAAACTCACTGCCCATCCCGCATATGAAACAGTGTCTACAAATGATTGAATTGCTATTTACCCTTACTGTATGTCAATGCTGTAATTGTCCCTATGTGTGAGAAAAAGTATGAATTGTTGTTTGTCTCTTTGTGTCCCTGTGATGGACATGCGATCTGTCCAGGGGTGTCCCCCGCCTCTCGCACAGTGACTGCTGGATATGGGCACCAGTGACCCCCGTGACCTTAAAAGGAAGAAGAGGATGGATGAATGTCAATGCACAGTTTTCCTTTCCTTTTCCCCATTTTAATTTTTTGGGGAAGAAAGATTTGGTCATGTAGATAATGTTTCTAGATGCAAATGAAAGAAAAGGATGAAGCTGGTAAAGGGGATGGATGGATGAACTTGGGGGCAGTTGTGTTTGAGTGGTTAGAGCAGTCACCCTCCAATGTGAGAGTTGGGGGTTCAATTTCACCAGCAGTCACATGTTGAAGTGTCCCTGGGCAAGACACTGAACCATCATTGTCTCCGATGTGTGTCCCATCAGTGTATGAATGTGATAAAGTACTGATTAATCTTTGTATAGATCTAGTAGAGTGCTGTATGAATGAATGGGTAAATGAGGCACAGGTTGTTGTAAAGAGCTTTGAGTATCGTGATATGATCAACAAGTACAGTCCATTTATCATTAACTTGACCTTTTTTTTCACTGTGTGACAAATTTCCAGTGGCTTCTGGGAAATATTTAGTATGATCAGTAACTGATGGTGGCAACATTACTCTTTAAAAATAAATAATCTAAAGTTTTGACTTTTTAAAATTCCTCAGGCTTGTTCTTTTTGCATCTATGTATCATTTTCAGTTTGAACAAAAAGAGAAAATATTGATACACTGAATATTTTACAGCCTTATTAGACTATATTAGATGTGTGTTTCATTGAAGTAATTATATATATAACTATAATTCTTTTTACAAGTGATTAAAATAAACACTATTAATAGCAGTTTATAATAAATAATACTGACTCACTTGACAACATTGAAACTCCTGCATGTAAGTTTACGCTCATGTCTTGACTGTACCTATTAAACAATTTTACAACATATTTTTCATAAACTCAAATTAGTTCCCCGCCTATTTTATGTGGTTTATTTTCTTTGCTGCTTTTTTTTCCCTGCCTGAGGAAAAAAAAACTATTAAAAAACACCTTGCACAAACAAGCACATAGTGACGTAGACATTCTGCAGAGGGGAGACGACGAGAGCGGTGAGCATGTTCATAGATGCTCTCGAGGTCACTGTAAGAGTTCTGATAAGGATGTAATAATCAGTCAATGTCCTCTGGTGAGATTCATAAACATTCTTGAGGGATGTCGAGGAATGGCCAAGAATAACGTCTATGAGAACCCAAGAGTCCTGAAATGATGACACAAGTTTATTCAGCTGGTTTCATCTGGTTAACAGTTGGACATTCCTCAGGGAGGGGGTGGTGAGCATCAGATCACATGTTCTCCAGGCAAATTCAGATAAGAAGGCCTTCAAGGCCAGCCAAGGGAGCCAAATTCAGATAAACACACAGTTGTTTTGGGGACAGGCAGAACTTAATGACATCTACTTTGAGTCTGTGTTGGTCCACTCAATTCCGAATTGTCCAAGTTACATGGCCACACCAATGGAACGTGACTGAGTAAAGTCCCCAAGATCTGATCCATTCTGCCTAAAGCATTTGAGTCTGGGTACTCGAGCCACGATCCAAGCCATCATAAAGGCAAGCAGCGTGATCGGGTCCAAATTTGCTGCCAACGACTTCCTTGATTGATAAAACCAGCAACCAGCCGAATCCAAAAAGCAGGAACCAGTTATCAAAAATCAATTAAATATGCGTCCTTAAAATCCACAAATGGCAGCAGAGATAGACACATCATCAAGTCTTCCAAGTTGATGAGATATCCAGCTGCGTGCTTGCCAACAGGGCAAATCGGCTCGCCTAAAGCCTGTCTTCTCTTTGAAGAAATGTTGTAAATTGAGTTGAGGGACCAACTGATCAAAACAAGTCCATAATTATGGTTCGGAGGATATGCAAGAGAGGCTCACAAGCAGTTTCACAGACAGACAGAGCAGCAAAGCAAAGCGGAGAGGGAAGGGAGAAGCATCCGATCTCGGCGAGAGCAAGTGGTGAAGTAATTGATTTGTTTATTGTGACAGGCCTAGTTGTATGCTGTTTATTTGATGTTTGATGGAAGCCTGTAGAATCTTGATGGCGGTGAGACGTTGCTTGTCCTCAGTGAAACGTTGCTTGTCTTCAGTGAGATGGTGCTTGTCCACAGTGAGATATCGCTTGTCCTCAGTGGGACATTGCTTGTCTTCTGTGGGACGTTGCTTGGCCTCAGTGAGTTGTTGCTATCTTGTGGCCGCTGTTTCTCTTGGACATATCGTATGTCCTTTCTAACGGCTTTTGTTCTGTCTGGTTTGTGTCTGCAGGTTCAACTACAGGTCAACTCACCATCTCACCACCAATGGCTTCTATGAGTTTCTCAACTGGTTTGATGAACGAGCTTGGTACCCTCTGGGAAGGATAGTTGGAGGCACAGTAAGTATTTTGTGTCCTGGCTATGTTACAGATGCTTGACTTTGATTTTTGTTGCTGTTGTTTTCAAAAAACTTATCTTATATGTGGTATTGTTTCTAGAAATGTTTCAATCCACACAAAAACACAGAAAACAGCCCAAAATGATGTAATAACAAAGCCAGGCCTGTATGTGGTGCTGTAATGCTACCACCAAAATACACCTGAAACAGGAAACAAGACATGGAGCGTGCACATAAGGCTAACACATCAGGTAGTAGGTGTAGTGTACTGTGCAGTGTGTGGTTCAACCTGTAAACGCAAAGATTAGAACTGTAAGCAGCTACGATGGGGTCAAAGCTTTCCAACGTGTGCTCCCCCACCATCTTACCAGATCTGTTGACTCACTAACTTGTATATTCACAAGTCTTTATCTTGATGCCATTTTGTCCTCAAGCTCCTAATTCAGTTCTGTTCTTTTATGTAGCACCAAGTCACAAAAGAAGTCCTCTCAGGGCACTGAACAGAAACATTCACATACATTATTAATGCCAATTAGCAAACTTATCCATCTAAGGAAGGGAGGATTTAAAGGTTAGTTTGCCACAAAACGCCCCCCCCATTTACTGCTTTTAGTAAGACTATACAAATGGGAGGGATGGTGCAGAGGTTAGAGAAGGTGGGCCTTTGATTGGAAGGTCGCTGGTTCAACTTTCTGGACCAACAACATAAAAATCTGTATGGAAAAGGTGAAACACCCACACCTGCCTCCACCCTCCTCTGTCCTATTCTGGGCCCCTTAACCCCCACCCCCCTCCCTCGGGTGCCGCAGCTCTCTGCTCCACACAGAGGGTTGTGGTGGCTTGGTGGTTTGTGCTTGGGTCAGGAAGGACATCCGGTGTAAGAACATTGGCGAAGTCTGCATCCAAGTTAGTTTGCTGTGGCGACCCCTGAGGAAGGGAGCAGCTGAAAGAAGAAGAAAATAAAAAAGTAGGACTCTATAGAAATAAACTGACCTAACAAAATTCATTTGTTTCTTATGTTTAAGTGAGTATTTTGGGATTGGTTTGTCTCTTTCAGCTCTCAAATTATGCCATGTTACACTTGCAAAGTTTTGAAGTAAAAACGTCGATCTGTCCATCCAGCCATCCATCCATTATCTTTTACCCACTTCTTCCATTTTGGGTCACGGGGGTCACTGGTATCCATATCCAGCAATCACTGTGCGAGAGGTGGGGGACACCCTGGACAGGTCTCCAGTCCATCACAGGGCCACATAGAGACAAACAACCATTCACTCTCTCACTCACACCAAGGGACAATTTAGAGTTACCAATCAGCCTAACATGCATGTTTTTGGTCTGTGGGAGGAAACCGGAGTACCCGGAGAAAACCCACACATGCACGGCGAGAACATGCAAACTCGACACAGAAAGGCCCCCCTGGCCAGGATTTGAACTGAGGCAACCTGCTCACTAAGAGGCGGCAGCTCTACAGTCATGCTTCCAAAAATATCAAATTATAAAATATGTTTGTTGCATTTTAGCGCCCCCTGATGGTCAAACTTTGCTATCATTAAATAGGGTTATTAACTTGCATGTTAATGAATCAAACGGTTTTAGGCTAATAAAATCATTATGGTGGAGGGAAGGCCAGAAAACCCTGTTTAACATAATTACTATTATTAGAAATAAAACTGTAACTTTCATTTAAAAAAATTAATTGTTTGTCAAGAAAAATCAGAAGAAGAAATGATCACACTTTTGTTCTGGTACAAACCTAAATTTTGTTGTGCGCTTGACAGTTTAAATAAAAAAACAACTGGCGTTTTGCTTGTACCCAACAAACATAACATTTTAAAATATGTGAACTATTATCCCAATCTAAACAACAAGTCGAAGCCTTTTATAAAGGGCGATCTGAAGAGGAAGCCTGCTGATTTTGTTGTGATTGACATAACGGTTGTAATGATAAAAAGTATTCAGCCTTCCCCCAAACTTCAGAAGAAATGGCGACATGTTTCAAAATGGAGAATGTTTCTCTTTGCAGAGCGTTTGGAGTCATTCAAGGAGTGCAAACTGTAACTTGTTTGTTGTTTGTTTTTAACTGAAACCACATTGTTTGTTTTGCTCTTTCTGTACCAGCTAATCATTTTCATGTTGGCAGAGACAAGTCAGAGGTTGCTGCTCAACTTCTCTTTGACTTTGATTAAAGTTTCATTCAATTCTCCATTGTAGTGACATGAACTCCTCACATGTAACTGCCCCTGGTGGACATTAATAAGGTTAGGGACGGGTAAGGTTAGGTTACCTCTATCTTACTCGTGAAGTATTTATCAACTTTTGCATTAAAATGATTGTTTATGTCATATACACTGCCTGGCCAAAAAAAGGTTGCCACCTGTATTTAACTAATCAAATAGGTACGAGCCTCATATTGGATAATTACTGCATGGGTGATTATCTTTCAGCTTCAACAAGTTACAGGTCCTTCTCAAAAAATTAGCATATTGTGATAAAGGTCATTATTTTCCATAATGGAGTAGAAACATCCAGAGCCACCGTGCACAGGCGTGTGCAGGAAATGGGCTACAGGTGCCACATTCCCCAGGTCAAGCCACTTTTGAACCAGAAACAGCGGCAGAAGCGCCTGACCTGGGCTACAGAGAAGCAGCACTGGACTGTTGCTCAGTGGTCCAAAGTACTTTTTTCGGATGAAAGCAAATTTTGCATGTCATTCAGAAATCAAGGTGCCAGAGTCTGGAGGAAGACTGGGGAGAAGGAAATGCCAAATGCCAGAAGTCCAGTGTGAAGCACCCACAGTCAGTGATGGTCTGGGGTGCCATGTCAGCTGCTGGTGTTGGTCCACTGTGTTTTATCAAGAGCAGGGTCAATGCAGCTAGCTATCAGGAGATTTTGGAGCACTTCATGCTTCCATCTGCTGAAAAGCTTTATAGAGATGAAGATTTCATTTTTCAGCACGACCTGGCACCTGCTCACAGTGCCAAAACCACTGGTAAATGGTTTACTGACCATGGTATTACTGTGCTCAATTGGCCTGCCAACTCTACTGACCTGAACCCCATAGAGAACCTGTGGGATATTGTGAAGAGAAAGTTGAGAGACGCAAGACCCGACACTCTGGATGAGCTTAAGGCCGCTATCGAAGCATCCTGGGCCTCCCTAACACCTCAGCAGTGCCACAGGCTGATTGCCTCCATGCCACGCCGCATTGACGCAGTCATTCATGCAAAAGGATTCCCGACCAAGTATTGAGTGCATAACTGAACATGATTATTTGAAGGTTGGCGTTTTTTGTATTAAAAACACTTGTCTTTCATTGGTGGGATGAAATATGCTAATTTTTTGGGACAGGCATTTTGGGTTTTCATGAGCTGTATGCCATAATCATCAGTATTAAAACAATTAAAGACCTGAAATATTTCAGTTGGTGTGCAATGAATCTGAAATATATGAAAGTTTCTTTTTTATCATTACATTATGGAAAATAATGACCTTTATCACTGTATGCTAATTTTTTGAGAAGGACCTGTATTTAACCCAACTGGTGCAATGAGTTGCTTCTCATTTCTTAAACAACCATATTGAAAGACACATGACATGGTTGTGGAAAAGATGTCAGTCAGTTTGAGAAGGGTCAATTCACTGGCATCAAGCAGAGAAAACATTTAAGGAGATTGTAGAAACTGCTAACATTGGGTTAAGAACTGGCCAACATATTATTAAAAACTGGAAGGATAGTGGGGACCCATCGTCTTCGAGGAAGAAATGTGTCCAGAAAAATATCCTGAATTATCGTGATTGCGATCACTTAAACGTTTGGTGAAATCAAATGGAAGAAAAACAACAGCAGCACTCAGGACTATGTTTAATGGTGAAAGTAAGAACATTTACACACACAATGTGAAGGAACTCAAGGGATTGGGACTGAACAGCTGTGTAGCCTTAAGAAAACCACTAATCAGTGAGGCTAACTGGAAAAAAGGCTTCAATTTGCTAGGGAGCATAAAGATTGGACTCTGGAGCAATGGAAGAAGGTCATGTGGTCTGATGAGTCCAGATTGACCCTGTTCCAGAGTGATGGGCGCATCAGGGTAAGAAGAGAGGCAGGTGAAGTGATGCATCCATCATGCCTAGTGTCTAGTCATCAATGCAAGACCTTGGTGAAAGATTACTGCAACACTGGATGTAAATGGATCTTGTGACATTGCAGAAGCTTATTGAAACAATGACACAGTGAATTCATGCTGTAATCAAAGCTAAAGGCGGTCCAACGAAATATTAGTGTGTGACCTTTTTGTTCTGGTGTCAACTTTTTTTTTTGGTCAGGCAGTGTATTATATATGATATGAAGAGAAATAAAAAATAAAGTAGAAGGATAATAATAACTAAATAATTTCCTTTAGGTTACTTGCCTTGGCAGAACGCTCATCCCTTCCATGATTTTTGTTGCCGTGGGTGTGGGGTGAGGAAACGACTCAGCGTGAAGGACACGGAGCGCTACCTCTAGCTTTTTAGCTAGTGTGTCTGTATTGCGCGCTGCTAGCTTAGTACTCAGTCAGTGTTGGCAGTTGTTGTCAGGGGACGGGGATTTTGGTAGGGCGGTGCGCCCTCCTTGTGTTATGATAAGGGAAACTGAGTTTTAATAATGTTTATGCTCTGCTGGAGACATTGGAAATACTGCTGCATTAACGCTGCAGACAGGTTGGGGTCACATTAAATTAGAGTCAGAGAGATTTATTTGTCATACACCACATGCGACACGTCAGAGTCAGAGTCAGAGTCAGAGTTTCTTTATTGTCATTCGCACCTCATGTGGTACATGTGGTGGAGCGAAATTATGTACGCAGGGTCCCAGTTACATCCAACAATAAAATGTCTAAGAAAAACAGTAATAACATCTAAGATATGAACTAAGAAAAACATCAACTAAATATACACTAAGCACTCATAACATAAAACATTGAACATCAGCACAAACATGAACATGAGTCTGTGAGCAGATGTGCACGCATGAACACATCAACATTGAAACAGATCAGCAGCAACATGAAACAGATCAGCAGCAACATGATATGGTTTTTCACAGTGATTATTCTAGTTAGAGATTCATGAGTCTAACAGCCTCAGGGTAGAAGCTGTTCCTCAGTCTAGTGGTTCTACACTTAATGCTCCTTAACCTCCTTCCTGAGGGGAGTGGGGCAAAAAGTGTGTGTGCTGGGTGGGTGGGGTCCTTCATGATGCAGGTGACCCTCTTCCTGCATCTGGAGGTGTAGATGTCTGTGATGGTGGGGAGACTGATTCCAACAGATTTCTGTGCAGCCTTCACCACTCTCTGCAAAGCTTTTCTTTCTGCAGCTGTGCAGCCTCCATGCCACACGTTGATGCTCGAGCACAGGATGCTCTCCACTGCACACCTGTAGAAGGAGGTGAGGACTGAGCTTCCCAGACCAGCTCGCCTCAGCCGTCTGAGGAAGTAGAGTCTCTGATGAGCTTTCTTGATCAGGCTGGTGGTGTTGTTGCTCCAGCTGAGGTTGTCATTCATGTGTACACCCAAGTACTTGTAGCTGGAGACCACTTCCACCGCAGATCCTCTTATGTTCAGGGGGGTGTAGATGTTTTTGTTCCTTCTGAAGTCCACAATCATCTCCTTTGTCTTCTTCACATTGATGTGAAGGTTATTCTCTCTGCACCAGCTCTCCAGGTGTTCCACCTCTTGCCTGTAGCTGGACTCATCATTGTTTGTGATGCATCCCACCACCGCTGTATCATCTGCAAACTTTACAATGTGACAGCCTGGATGGGTAGCTGCACAATCATATGTGAGCAGAGTAAACAGAAGGGGGCTCAACACACATCCCTGAGGAGAGCCAGTGCTGAGGGTTATGGTGGAGGAGGAGAGGTTGTGGATCCTCACTAACTGTGGTCTGTTTGTTAAAAAGTCTAGTACCCAGTTGCAGATGGAGGGGCTTAGTCCTAGTGTGAATAGTTTGTCCATCAGGGTTTGGGGGATCATGGTGTTGAAGGCGGATGTGAAGTCCACAAAGAGCATACGGACGTAAGAGTTTTTCTGCTCCAGGTGGTTGAGCGCAGTGTGGACCACAGAGGAGATTGCATCCTCTGTTGATCGGTTCTCACGGTATGCGTACTGATGAGGGTCCTCGTTGATGTTGATGGTTGTTTTGATGTGGGTCATGACCAGTTTTTCGAAGCATTTAGCGACTATCAGGGTGAGGGCCACTGGCCGATAGTCATTCAGACCAGTCACTGTAGAG